TTCAACTATTGGCTTCTTAACTCTAGTGCATCAACCATGGTGCTTTTTAAATGCTTTAAGAAGAGAACCCTAACCATCATTGAAAGGGAAGGTGACCTTCAAGAAAAAGGAACAATATTAGATGTGGGTACAGCATTTATCGGCAATTCCTCTCTGTATTTGCCAAGGTCATCGTCAGATGCTCAATATTTCCTATCCCAATGGTCAAGGGTGTCTTCATGCAAGCTCACCAACCACGGATTTAATGAGAATAATGAGAATATATCCGTGTCAGAGGCATTGATATTGGATTCAGGACTCTATAAAAAAGCTAATAAACCAGAACAATTTGCACTTTTGGGACATAAAGTGCATGCTAATGAGGTAGAGTGGAGTAATGCTTTGAAAGTTTCACCCGAGTTGTCATACACCTAAGGATATTTTGAGTGGATAGAGGACATTCTGGGTCGCCACAACAATTTTCTTAAAAAGGGGATAACATTATTTGACACCATATTTGCCTCATTGTTCTCATATGATCGCTACGGACCCGTGCTCAAAGCTTTCCTTGAGTCTTGGTGCCCTTTGACTAATACCCTCCATTGTTCAGTCGGAGAACTTTCCATTTCCCTTCGAGATTTACGTGTGTTGGGTGGTCTCCCTTTTGGTGGAAAGTTTTATGATGAGGTTGTCCCTGATGCAGTCGAACTATCGACTGTAAGAGAAGATGGAACTTTATTACTCCCTTTCAGTTGCCAATATTTATTCCTAACCTTTCACAGGCTTTGCAAAAAATGTAAAGTGGACTGTGAAGTAAAAATATCTGATTGGGTGGATTATTGGTTTAAAGGTACCATAAGGCATAAGAAGATACCTCCGAGAAGGGTAGCGAAGAACAAAACTCAATGTCCAAAAGAGACTTACAACCCTTCTGGAGTGATTCCAACACCTAAAGCTCCTTCAACTCGAGAGGATGACATTCTTAACAGTCTTGGGGTAGAACAAGAGGTGAAATAAAAGACTCATTTAGCTGCATTTTTTTGCGTGTTGGCCATACAAATTTGTTTTACCTGCCAATCCCAATAATATGATTCAGCCTAGGGTATTTAAAGTTGCCAGCATGATGGCGGAAGGGGAAAAGTTTTATCTTTCGGTTCCAGTTCTTACCAGTATCTACAGGGGTTTAAATGACATGATTTCTTCGCCTAAACCAGGGAATTTTAATGCTGTATTTTCGATACATTATGTGTACGGGTGGATAGCTGAATACTTCAAGACCTATTTTTTTGCTCCTATTGGTCCTAAGTTGCCTTTAGGAATGTTTGCCTGTTAATGTCAAAAACTATTGCTTTAACCTCGGACAATGAAGGTTCAGCACTTCAGCAACTACAAGTGCTCAGCCTCAGATAATGAAGGTTCAGCACTTCAGTTTTAGCTACAGCCTCAGCTTTGCCACAGTGCTGAGTAGAGGGCAGTATGGCCTTTTCTAACTGTGCTCAAGAATGTGATGCGTCTCAGTGGTCCTAGAGAAGAATGTGACACATTTTAGTGGTCCTAGAGAAGAATGTGACACGTATCAATGGTCCTAGAGAGCTAGTTTATGGAAGGATATTCCATTCTTGGAGGCTAAGTTTGGACAGAAATGGAATTCAGTACTCAAACTTGTAACCTGCTGTAGCTGGAAGAATTGTGACGAAATTAGCTGAGATGGTAGGCCTGCATTGGTCCATTGCTCTGAAAATATCTGAATTGTACTCTCCCAATCATTAGTGAAAGGTGACAGGTGTATATCCATGGTGTGTGAGGCCTTGTGAAATTGAGAGTCACTATAAATATGTTGCCATAAGGCTTCTTAGGGTTTAAGCCTCTGAAATTTACATTGCACATTGAGCTGCTCGTGAGAACCCTCAAGTATACTATGTCAAGCAAGTTTTTCTGTGCTATTTGATGATGATCCATGCAAGAAAAACTTATTGAATCAACACTGAGGCCTGCTCTGTTTGTTAAGATGAGGCCCTTGTCAAATTTGCTGATGCAAGGGCTGTATTGAAGAGTGACTTGGTGCTTCAAGCTTCTGTGGTCGATTATAAAGGTTGACACATGTATAATTCATCTTCTCACACTTGTTTAGATTGTGTTTGTGTTGAGATTATGCTGAAAATGAATTCAGACAGTGTGGTCAGTAATTAAGCTTATTTTTCTGAAGAAATCTTGGATTCAAGTGCTATTTGATTATACTTAGCTATTTCATGATGATTTATGCTGTTAGCTAGTATATTTTGATGAATCGAGATTGTCAAAGTTGAGTTAGTAGCAAAAATATGGTATGCTTTGTTTTGACTATTCTGTGCTGAAGATATTCCGTGCCGAGGTTATTTTGTGCTGTTGAGATTCTGTGCTGAGGAGATTCTGTGCCGAGGCTATCTGTGCTGAAGCTTTTTGTGCCGAAGTCGTTATATGCTGAACCAAGGATTTTGACTGAACTTGTGATATACTCATGTTGTGTTTGATTATAAAAAGCTATAAACATGAGTACAATAGTGAAAGAAGATTGTATGAGGGGCTGGTGAATTAATCTCAAAAGGAATTTCCACTTTTACCCCTCGGACACTTGATGCAACGGATTACAGTTCTAAGGTAGTATATTGGAATTCTGTGTTGTCCAGCTTATTTGAATTGTATTTGGTGCGTTGACACTTGTTGTAAATGGCAGTGAGGCATGATACCTCACCCCCTTGTTGAGTGGTAGTGAGATTTTACATCCTTACCCCATTGTTGAGTGAGCTTTGAGAGCTTATTGGGTCCAAGCGTGATTGTTGCGAACAGGGGGAGTACGTGGATGCACTATGGTGTCCTAGTGTGTGTGTATTGGTTGTGAAAACTAGTGTCTATTATAGTGCATGGGTGTGTGCAGAGAGTGAGATAGCTGAGTGTGTAACAAGATACATACAACTAGTGGATTGCTTATTAGCCGAGGCCAAGAACCAAGGTTTTCCCTATTTAAGAGAGTTTCCTTGTAAATCTTATGTTATCTGTTCTTTGAATGCTTGCTTAGTTGTGTGAGAAAGTTTTTGAAAGCAAAGATTTAACCAATTCACCCCCCTCTTAGTTCAACAATTGGTATCAGAGCTTTGGTCTACATTGTGAGGTTCTAACAAGCCTGCAGTTGATCCCAGCAATTGATGAAGGTCAAGTTATCAACAAAGCTCCAGGGTTTGAAGGTTCAAACTATGATTCTTGGAAAACTAGAATGGAAGCCTTCTTAATGTCTCAGTCCTATGATGTTTGGCATGCTACCATACATGGTGTTGTGATTCTTAATCCTGATAACCCCTCTGTTGAAGATAAAATGGCTGTGACTAATGATGGCAAGGCCAAACATGTTATCTTCTGTGTTTTGAGGCAACAAAAGTTTACCAGAGCTAAAAATTGTAAAACAGCCAAGGAAATGTGGGATTCTTTTCAGGCAACTCATGAAGAAAATAAGGTTATTAAGGAGAACAAGATACAACTATTCAAAGTTTAGTATAAGGTGTGTAAGATGGAAGATAGAGAAACTATTGCTGAGTACATGTTCAGGATCAATGACCTTATCAATAATATGACAGCACTTGGTAAAGATATTAAGGATGTTGATGTTTGTAAGAAGATACTAAGGTCACTCACCTCTAGATTCAATCCTAAAGTAACAATTCTCGAAGACAAAGATCTTTCTGAAGTGAAGATTGACGAGCTTCAGGCCTCTCTCACTGCCTTTGAAATGAGAATTGGTGTTTCAGTTGTTCATAGAAGAGAAACTGCTCTTAAAGCAAAGGAAGTTGTTAAAGAAACTAAAGCAAAGTCTGAAGATGATCTTGAAAAAGATGAGGTTGCCTATCTTGCTAAGAAATTTAGAAAGTTCAGGTTTAAAAAGAAAAATCAGCTACTAAATTTAACTTGCTATGGTTGTGGTAAACCTGGTCATGTTGCATTTAAGTGTCCAAACTCAAAGGGGCAGAGTCAGAAGAAGAATGAGGGAGGAAACTGCAAAGGAAGGTTTGGCAGAAAAGCACTTATCTCAGACTGGGATACAACTCTTGAAGAAGAAAAACCTGAGGAGACACAAGAAGATGAATGTCTCTTTATGGCAATTCTTGAAGCACCACAAACTTCTGTTCAGGTTGAAGAAGATAGTGGCACTGAGATTGAGGAAATTCTTGAAGAGTGTGAAAGGCTTACAGTGAAGTGTGATCAACAGAAGGCTCAAATAAAAAGGCTCAGCTCAAAAATGTTCAAGTCCAAACAAATTCTCATTAAACACTTTAAACTTAAACTGTCAATGCTGTGTTAAGTTTCTCTTATTTTTCAAAGCCTATTGAAATCTCAAGTCAACACTCAGTGGTCTACCAAGAAGTGTAAAGAAGAACTGTCTCTCATTCTAGAAGAAAGATCCCTAAAAATGGCTGAGATATGGAAGTAATCCACAAAGCAAATTGGGAAGACTAGAATTGGTTATGTGTGTGATTTAGCTATAAAGGTCAATCAAACTCACTCTGTATTTGCAAAGCCACAATTGGTGAAGTGTCTGTAAGTATCCTATCATAAAGACTCGGAGGTTCAAGGATGAGTTGCTTAATAACTTCTGCAATGCTCTAAATTTCAGCAAGAGAGACTTTGTTACCACAGCTATAAAGAACTTCAAGATAACTAGAATGTATGTCAAGAAGTCAGAATTAGGTTCAGCTCAGAAGGTCAAGGACAAAGGATCGTTGGTAAAGACTAAAATTATGTGGATTCCTAAAAAGCTGAACTCTGTGTGTCTTCTTGTGTATACAGCCTTTAAAGCTTATAATACTCAGGATAAATGGTATGTTGATAGTGGTTGCTCGAGACACGTGACTGGTGATGGTTCCAAATTTAATTCGTTGAAGCAGTTTGATGGTGGGAATGTTATCTTTAAAGATAATCAAAGAGCTAAGATTGTTGGAATTGGTACTGTGAGTAAGTCTGAAGAGTTGCCAGAAATCCACGAAGTTCTATGAGTTGAAGGACTCAAGCATAATCTCCTCAGTGTTAGTCAATTATGTAACGGTGGGAAGAAGGTCTGTTTCAATAAAGAAAGATGCAATGTGATTGATCTTGAATCAAAACAAGTTTTGTTCTCAGCTAATAGATCTTCAGGAAATGTGTACACAGTCATTGAAGAAAGTCAAGTCACTCAATGTAATTTAACAACCTGTGATGAAACAAAGTTGTGGCACAAGAGGTTAGGTTATCTTCATTCAAGAAATATGTCCAAGATTCTGAAGCTGAAAGCTGTTAAAGGACTACCTGATATCAGTTTTAAAGATGATCACCTTTGTAAAGCATGTCAACAAGGAAAGCAAACCAAAATGTCATTTCCTTATAAGGAAATCAACTCTTCAACAGCTCTAGACTTGATACACATGGATCTATGTGGCCCTACCAGAACCACTAATGTTGGTGGAAACAAGTATTTTAGGCTTCTTATTGATGATTTTAGTAGGATGGTGTGGGTTTACTTCTTGAAAGAAAAATCTGAGGCCATTACATACTTCCTTTAGTTTGTTAATCTTGTTAAAAATGAGAGAAGTAGCACTGTGAAGATACTTAGGTCTGATTTCGGCTTAGAATTCATCTTGAAGGAGTTTAAGCTCTACTGTGATGATAAAGGTATCAAGAAAGAGTTCTCAGCTGTTGCTACACCTCAGTAGAATGGCGTTATAGAATGGAAGAACACGACAGTTCAAGAAATGGGTAGAACAATGCTTCTTGAAAAAGGTCTAACAAAGGGTTTTTGGGCTGAAGCTGTGAGTACAGCTATGCACATCATAAATAGGGTTCTTCTCATATCTAATTCAACCAAAACACCTTATGAATTATGGTATGGAAGACTTACAACTGTTCACTACTTCAAGGTGTTTGGCAACAAGTGTTATATACTGAACCACACTGATAGTTTGGGCAAGTTTGATTCAAAGGCAGATGAAGGCATATTATTAGGGTACTCTAAGAAAAGCAAAGCTTATAGGTGTTACAATCTAAGGTCTATAGAGTCAATTCATGTGAAGTTTGATGAGAATCCTAAGTCTACACCTCTTGAAGACTGTGACAATACTTTTGGTTCAAATAAAACCAGTTCCTTAGTTACTAAATCCGAATATCAGAGGGAAATCATTTATCCAGTGCTGCAGAAGTAGGTTCAAGCTGAGAACATCATTGGTTCATCTCAAGCTAGAGTTCAAACAAGAAATAAGAAGAAGCTAAATGATTTAGAAGCTGAAGATGGTGAAGAATACAGTCACTTTGCTATGCTGCCATTTATTGAACCAAAGTCCTATTATGAAGCTCGGAAAAGTAAAGACTGGATAGCTGCCATGCAAGAGGAACTTAATCAAATTCACAAGAATGATACCTAGACACTCGTTCCAAGACCTGAAGACAAGAATGTGATAGGTTCAAAGTGGATTAACAAAAACAAGATGAATGAGAAGGGGTCAGTAATAAGAAATAAGGCAAGATTGGTGTGTAAAGGCTATACTCAGGAAACTGGAGTTAATTATGTTGAAACTTTTACTCCAGTTGCTAGAATGGAATCCATTAGAATGATTCTGTTTTTTGCTTGTCACAAACAAGTCAAAGTATATCAAATGGATGTTAAGTCAGCCTTCCTTAATGGAGACCTAAATAAAGAAGTTTACTTGGAACAACCTGAAGGTTTCAAAGATTTAAAGTATCCCTCTCATGTGTTCAAACTAAGTAAGGCTTTGTATGGTCTCAAACAAGCCCCCAAAGCCTGGTACTAGAAGCTGCATCAGTTCTTAGTTGAACAAGGATTTCATAGAGGCAAGGTTGATAATACTCTTTATATAAAAACTCATCAAGAATAGTTTCTAATTCTACAAATCTATGTTGATGATATTATGTTTTGTGGCTCGGATACCTCATTAGCTTCAGAATTTGCTAATCTCATGATGACAAGGTTCGAAATGTCACACTTGGGGACTCTCAGATACTTTCTTGGCCTTCAAATTACACAAACATCCTCTGGAATCTTCATCTCTCAGCAAAAGTATGCCTCAGAGCTACTTAAAAAGTTCAAAATGGATAATTGTAAGGCTGTCTCAACACTACTTTGTCCAAATACCAAACTCTCACTGGAGTGCACCATTAAAGCTGTTCCTTCAACACTTTACAGGTCAATCATTGGTAGTTTGCTGTATCTTACTGCTTCAAGGCCTGATATAATGTATTCAGTGGGTTTAGTGGCCAAATTTCAAAGTAATCTGAAGGCTTCTCATCTTCAAGCTGCCAAAAGAATCCTCAGATATGTCAAGGGCACAATCTCCTATGGTCTATTTTACATTTACTCACCCTCAATGTCCATTGCAGCCTTCTCAGATGCTGATTGGGGTGGATCTTTACCTGACCGAAAAAGTACCTCTGGTTATTACTACACTATTAGTTCAAATGTGGTTTCTTGGCTAAGCAAAAAGTAGGACATTTTCTCTCTTTTAACCTCTGAAGCTGAGTGTACAGCTGCCTTACAAGCTGGGTCACAATTATTTTGGATGAAGACTACTCTCTCAGATCTTGGCATTTAATTCTCAGGACCTCCCAAGCTTTTCTGTGATAATCAAAGTGCCATTGCTATCAGTAAGAATCCCACACTACAGTAGAAGAGCAAACACATTGACATCAGGTATCACTTCCTCTGAGATAAAGTTCAGCACGGTCTAATTAATATTACTTATTTGCCTTCTGAAGATCAACTTACAGACATCATGACCAAACCTCTTTTTCCTTAGAGATTCTCAACCCTTCGAGCTCTTCTCAGGATTATTTCTTCTCCCTCCTGAACTTATATTGTTGTTCCTACTCACCTTTTGACCCTTCAATGTCAAAAAGGGGGAGAAATGGACTAAAATAAGGATAGCTTCAAGCTATTCCTTCTGCATTTGGGTTATTTCAAGGTTATTTGGTTTTTGTCATTAAAGGCAAAAGGGGGAGATTGTTGGTCCTAAGTTGCCTTTAGGAATGCTTGCCTGTTAATGTCAAAAAGTATTGCCTCAGCGTCGGACAATGAAGGTTCAGCACTTCAGCAACTACAGGTGCTCAGCCTCAGACAATAAAGGTTGAGCACTTCAGTTTTAGCTATAGCCTCAGCTCTGTCACAGTGCTGAGTAGAGGGCAGTATAGTCTTTTCCAGCTTTACTCAAGAATGTGATGCGTCTCAGTAGTCCTAGAGAAGAATGTGACACGTATCAGTGGTCCTAGAGAGCTAGTTTATGTAAGAATATTCCATTCTTGGAGGCTAAGTTTGGATAAAAATAAAATTCAGTACTTAAACTTGTAACCTGCTGTAACTAGAAGAATTGTGACGAAATTAGCTGAGGTGGTAGGCCTGCATTGGTCCATTGCTCTGAAAATATCTGAATTGTGCTCTCCCAATCATCAGTGAAAGGTGACAGGTGTATATCTGTGGTGTGTGAGGCCTTGTGAAATTGAGAGTCACTATAAATATGCTGCCATAAGGCTCCTTAGGGTTTAAGCCTCTGAAATTTACATTGCACATTGAGCTTTTTTTTTTTTTTTTTTTTATCAAATAAAGAATCTTATTTATTTAACCATTCACAGTTTAAACTCTTGCGGGCCAAGAGTAATACATTTGTTGTTTATTTATTTATTTTTAATGCTAACTGAACTTAGAATGCAATTCTAAGTTACCTACGTACCCTCAAAATAGGGATCAAGTCATGACGTAGTTCAATGAAAAGGAGTATTTTTATTATTATTATTATTTTTTTAATTATGTGCAATCACAATTTTAACTCATGTGGGCTAGGAGTAATACATTTGGCTTTTTTTTTTTTCTTTTTTTCTTTTTTATTATTATTATGTACAATCACAGTTTTAACTCATGTGGGCTAGGAGTAATACATTTGTTGTTGTTTTTTTATTTTTATTTTTTTTATTATGTGCAATCATAGATTTAACTTATGTGGGCTAGGAGTAATACATTTTGGCTTATTTGAATCAAGAGCATAGTGCCATCATGGGTAGTAACGCTTTAAGAACTTTCCATTAATGGGTCCAATCCTAACTCCATCTTCATCGACGATCTTGTATGCACTGTTGGTGTAGACTTCTCGAACTACGTACAGTCCATCCTATTTTAACAAAAACTTGTTGCCAATGCGGCGCTTCATGGTAATAGGTCTACGAATAGCAAGTACCAAGTCCCGAGCCTGGAATGATCTAGGTTGAACATTCTTATTGAAAGCCTTAAAGAGTCGAGATTGATAACACTCTAATTGTTGTTGAACTTCTAACCTTTTCTCGTCCAATGCTTCCAACTCTTGAAGTCGCAAGCAAACGTTTTCCTCATTTGTAAGTCCCTCTTGTATGGCTATTCTCAAAGAAGGAATTTGTTGTTTTAGTGGAAGAACAACTTCTACACCATAGACAAGGGAATACAGGGTTGCATGAGTAGGTGTGCGATATGTAGTTCGGTATGCCTAGAGTGCTTCTTCGATTTGCTCATGCCAGTCTCTCTTTGTTTTATTGACCACTTTTTTTAATAGATCACAAAGAGTCTTATTGAACGCCTCTGCAAGTCCATTAGCCGGAGCATTATACATAGAGGAATTACGTTGTCTGAAGCCAAACTTCTCACAAACATCAGTCACCCAACTATTTTTAAAGTTATTTCCGTTATCAGTGATGATATATCGAGGGACACCATACCGATATTTAAAGTTAACTTTAATGAATTCACCAACGGTTTCCTTTTTACTTTTGTAAAAGGTGCAGCTTCAGCCCATTTGGAGAAATAATCTGTGGCTGACAAAATGTATAAGTGACCTTTAGAAGATTTGCGTAGAGGTCCAACCACATCCAATCCCCATGCATCAAATGGCCATGAGGTGACAGTTTGGTGTAACGGTTCCGGTGGTTGATGTATAAAATTTACATGGAATTGACATGCTTGGCATCTTTTTGCGTACTCCATATAGTCTTT